CTCTCTCTCTCTCTCTCTCTCTCTCTCTCTCTCTCTTTTTTTTTTTTTTTTTTTAATGAAAAATCCTCAGAGAAGATCGAACTGTTATTCTCGTGAAAGAAAGAGAGAGAGTTAGAGGTGGTAGAAGATCGCGAAAGTCTCTTAATTAAAGCTATTAAATTTGTTTACCGCGATTCTCTCTCTCTCTCTCTCTCTCTCTCTCTCTCTCTCTCTCTCTCTCTCTCTTTCTATCAAAACTTAATCATACTTTATCACTTTGACCACTTGTTTGGCAACTCTCTTGAAATTCCTTCAGCACAACTTTTTATATATTACTATTGGCATTTCGGATGATTCAACATTATCGCGGTTTTTCCGAAAAATATATTATACTTCAGATCTTTCTGATAAACAAAATAAATTCTATAGAACGAAAATAACGCGCGCGAGAGAGAGAGAGAGAGAGAAGAAAGAGCGAGAGAGCGATCGATTAGAGAACAAAACTCACCGTACGATTTGTTTCGTTGTAACACACAGAAATATTCTTATCTAACCTCCTGGCCCCTGCATTTAAATGACGATAACTTTTAAACGGTATCGAGTTGTCTCCGATCAAAGTTTCAACCAAGAAAATGGGTCAGGGCCTACCATAGAGATTTAACTCTAGAAATAATTTTGATCTAAGAAAGTTAACCATAAATATTCATAAATTTATCATGAATATTCTCTTCTTCCTCTAAAAAGAAAAAAAAAAAAGGAAAGAAATTAGAATGAGATCGGTAAAATGAAAAAAAAAATTATGATTCACGAATCGAACATATGTTTAAATAAACCACGTGGAAAGTAATATTTTGTTCTTAATCGTAAGTAGATCATATTAAGATATACAAAGTTTCTTTTTAAGAGACGTCGTTGTTTTTCCTTCAATTGTAATCTATGTAAAAAAAAAAAGAGCTTAATTAAATGTGCATGCCCAACCTTTATAAATTCAATAGTAACAGAGCAAGAACTGTAAATGAGTAACTTGTTTTTCTAGTTAATCCAGTAATGTCCATGAAATTATATATACATCAATGCGGCACTCCTACATTATTGCTCATAAGAAAGATCCAGTAAATGTACTGTTAATTAATTCTCATGTTTTTCTCTGTATGTTTTGTAAAGGTAAAGCATTATGGTTGAGATAGATAAGGGAAAAAAAAAACATTTATTTGTTCTCTAAAGATCAATATTCTTGCGCATTAAATGATTCGATAATAATAACGTCATTGAAAGAGAATAAAGCGAAACTTTCTATTATATAAATTAAAAAAAAAATATATATATATATCTGATATTATGATATACAGATTGAATCAAAAGATTGTTTTTTCTTGAGAGATCTTTCAGGCTAATTATCCTTTCAAATTATAAAACTTCCATCAAGGATAGAAACTTTTAGCTTATTCTGCATATCACGTAATGATAATAAGGAATGTAATTATATGATTGATCATTTTTTTCCAGAACCTTTCTCGGATTGGCTGGAGGATAAAATTGATGTGCCAATATTCGAAGAATTGCCAGCACCGGAGTGTGGTCAAAACAAACCAGTCGTATATCCGATTATAATAAAGAATCATGAACAACAGCACGATAACACTCAAACATTGTTGGAAGAATTCGAAACTGTTTTGGAAGATGTTGAGGCTTGCCATCAGATTATCCCTTCGTCAGTTTCAACGCTCACCCCACCTCAATCACCTCCACCAAATAAATCATTGGCCATTGATACACAATTGCTCGTTACCTTGCAACCGGTGATGCAAACGACGGTTCAACCTATAATATCGAGTCAACAGCCTGTATATAATATCATAGTACCTCAAGAAAAGCAGCCTGATGCCTATCAGACCGAAGTATGTATATCGGAACAATGGAATACTGAGAATATGTCATTGGATCCACTTGGAGGAGATGTCGCCAATGATCTAGCGGTCGTAGATGAATATGTACGATCCCATACAGAGGACATACCACCACCGTACAGTCCATGTACCAGTCCAAGTGGTAGTTGCGCTTCTTCCGAAGATTCCACGGATGATCCAGACTGGATCGCTGAAACATCCTGCAGTAACAGGAAGCAATCGAGTTATATCAATAACAAAAATCGGCATAAACCGTACTCTCGTCCCTCGGTCGAGGACAAAAAAGTACGGAAAAAGGAACAGAATAAAAATGCGGCAACGCGATACAGGCAAAAGAAGAAACAAGAGATTAAGGATATTTTAGGCGAGGAACGTGAACTCACCGAGTATAATGAAAAATTACAATGTCAAGTGAAGGATCTACAGCGGGAAATCGGATATTTAAAGGGATTAATGAGAGATTTGTTTAAAGCCAAGGGTCTTATAAAGTAATCATTTTGTTTCCTCTCTTTCTTTCTCTCTCTCTCTCTCTCTCTCTCTCTCTCTCTCTCTCTCTCTCTCTCTCTCATTATTTTTTTTACAATATCTTTTTGTTTATATAATCACATTTATTGAATTCATTAACTATATATTTGTCGACACATTACTCACTTTACAATGCCACTACTAATACAATAACATTATACTTATATTATCAATTGTTATATATATATATATATATATATTTTTTTTTGTTTGTTTTATTTTGATCATCTACATTCTACTTTCTTAAACGTTTAATGTAGAATCTATCACAGCTTTTGTGGAACTACAGGACTCTGTCGTCTTGTAATTTATAAAATGTATAACCATCTCCTAATTTTATACTTATGGTCCGTTAAGATTAGCAAATGTGACGCCATTAGATAAAATACGAAGGATTTATTCGATAAGCAGCCCTATGAAGTTCTCACGAACGGAAATCTGCTGTTATCGAATATCCTGGAAGTTTTGTATACGATGGTGTCTCATAGATATGCGAATCTTTTCATTCCAAATAATTTTTAACCCAATCGATTTTATCATATTTTCTTACAGAAAATATTACGTTTAAAAAGAAAAAAAAAACAATAAATGGGTTATTATATAAATGATATATACGTTTCAATTATTATTATTATCAAATGTTAAATCCCTTCTCTCCTATATCATTTAATCAATTATAAACACTATGTGTAATATTAATAAAAAAAAAAAATAATAAAAAATAAATAAACAAATGCCAAATCCAAAAGTACCAGTATCATAATTAAAAGGAAAGAAGTTATTATGTAGAACGAAACTTGAAGATAATTATTGTTTTGTCGCGAAGACATCTTACGATAAATATATTTGATTTCCATTCAGAAAAAAAAAGAAAAGATAAAGAAAATGTTCAAAACAAGAAAGATAGTAAATAAAAATTTCAATATAAATAATTACACAACAAACGTTTTATATATAAAACATATTTATCTATAAACAGGTACGGCGCGAGCATATCTCGAATTTATTTTCTTAACTGTTTACAGCATTTAATTATAACGCAATTATCTGCGTTATCAAAATGAAAAGTGAAGAGTATTGAAACGCATACATACGAGAATATTATAAATGCAAATCTAGTAAACAGACGTAATTAGTAAATTCCTTCGCAAAATGTATAAACGAAGTGAATATACTAATATCCTTCACCAAGAAGCACTGATTACATGAAAAATTACAGAAAAAAGAAAAAAAAATGAATAAATGTCTAGTTAACATAAAAAAAAAAAAAAAAATGAGAAGCGTTATTTTTAATAAAAAAGAAGAAAAATAAAACCTCAAAATAGTTATGATCACATACAACCAATTAAATGCACACACACCGATCAATTATGATCTGCATTTGCACCTCTTGTCAATTATATATATACAAGAACTAATGCGCAGTATATTTGAATTTTTACTTACAAAATGAAAGTTTTTTTTTTCTATTTTTTTTTTCTTTTAATTTTTTTTTTTTTAAGCATTTATACATCTATATTAAGTCTATCGCCGATACATCGTAACTTTATCTTCGCTTATTTTTCCAAGATTTGCAACTATTCTTAAGAAAGTGAATAAAAAAAAATTGGTTTTTTTCCTTTTTTTTTCTTTTTTTTTCTTTTTTTTTCTTTTTTTTTCTTTTTTTTTTTTTTTTTTTTGAATATTATAATAAAAGATACAACATAAAATATTCAAAGTCGTTCATCGTTTAACGATATATTTGTTCGTAATAAAAAATTAAAATGCTTGCTTAAACGTAAACAATAAAGTAAATGATTATTTAATGAACTTGGATATGCAAAAAAAGATTCTATATATATAAATCCTGCTAATAATAAAAAATTTACATTTTCTTCCGAACATATAAAGCAGATTATATTTCTTCGGTAATACTTTTTTGCTCATTGTTAATATTTTATAATAAATCTGATGTGCAAATTTGGCAGCCATAATCGTTCACTATGATACAAAATATACATAATTGCTATATACCAAGCTTAAAAATATAACTTATTGTAGCTCTTGTTTTACAACATATGCACACATATAGTTGTATTACTTTGTTTTATGCTTTTATTTACATAAAATAAATCTCTATTATAGTAAATAAAATATTAAGAATTATTTCACAATATATATATGTATATATATATATATATATATATATATATATTGAAGACTTTCTAAACGAAATAATATATCCGAATATATAACAAAGAAAAAAATGTATTATAATTCTTGTCTCGAATTAAAAAGAAAAAATTGATATTTTTTACCTAGACCACTTAACATTACATTAAGTTGTCCTATTTTACATGAAACAACGAGATTATTTTCATTACAGCAGCGTTATATTTTGTTTATATGTGTATGTGTGTGTATTATTTTAAACTATGGCTGCTCTTACCTTCAGGAGCAAAAAAAAATTATATTTCAAGATATAACATCTATGTACCATCAAAAAAACAAATAGAATTGCACGGCTGCTTGAATCAATAGCAACCTACAAATTCTGCCTTATTACATATAACATTGTAATTTTAAACATAGTCACATATGTATTTTTTCGAACTCATTTAGAGAGTTCAAGTTGTTATTATAACAATATATCAACACTATAGATTTGATATATCTATACAATTTTTATAATGCGTGCTCTATTTACCCCACCAAATTATTTTATATTTTCTATAATAATGTACATGCAATGTACACACTGTTAATTCACCAAAAGTAAATATATGAAAGTACCCATAAATAAAATATGAACAAGTGGAATATTGTATAGTGTAGTCCACAATTAAAATATCAGTCGAAGCTTAAGTCTGAGCCTCACTGAGTTTCTATTTTAGGCACACATATAGATATACACTGTTTCAATCTGCATGTCACACGTTCCTATCACATAAAATCAAAAAGAAATAAAAAAAAAACCATAAAATAATAATCATGATTTCCATTGTAAATAAGAGTACAATGCATAATCTACATGGCAGTATAAAATTAATATTTCACAAACATAGTGATTCTCCTGGAATGTTCTTGCATAATTATAACAATAGCTATGAATATTCGAAAATCCTAAATTAGTACCATAAAATTATAATTCGCTTTAGATAAAAAAAGAAATTCGCTTTATATAAAATAAAAAAAAACCCTGAACAAAAATATTTATTATCTAATATATAAGTAATTCTTTTTCTTTCTTTTCTTTTTATTTTTTTTTACAAATGAAATATCATTAAAAATCAATGTATATCTATATAAAATGCCAATTATTATATTAGCTCATTTATGAGAGATGCTACCTTATTCGTTCCATTTTTATAAGAGAAAGATTATTAATATGTAAGATTAAGAAAGGGGCTCAAAATATTTTACAGTTTCTATGTTGCAGTATCACCGTCCTCCTGTTCGAGTCTAGAAGAACCGCAAATACGACATTTACAGCAAACTATACATGGAGCAGCCAAAAGTAGCAAAGGAGACGCGACAAGTAGGAGCAAACCAAAACCGGCGAATATCCCAATTACTTGTGTTCTATGCCATATTACAGATGCTCGTGAGTGACCTAATTTATTTTTACATGGTCCCTTGTCGTAATGCCTCAACAAAAAATCATCCTAAAATATCAATAATATATCAGTATATATAATATTTATAAAATTATAATTTGTATTATATCACAAAAATTCAATAGGAAAATTATATTTATTACTAATACTTACATCTAAAGAAGCTAAACAATACCAGCAGAAAACGTGTTTACATCTTTTACACATCATTTGTGCACATCCTTCGTCTTTTTCAATAGGTACAGAACACATGGGACAGCATTTAATATGATCACTGTCAAATGGTATACCTAATGGAAGATCGGAGCAGGGTCCATTGTGCCATGCTTCTCTGCACAAGGAGCAAAAATCTGTAGAACAGTTAGGACAGTGGACAGGTCCAGGAGGTGTACTACTACTTCCATTGGAATTGATTGAACATATTGTTTCACAGCCTGCACGTGGACACCACGCACGTTTTGTATCCATTGAAACATCTGTATAAAATCAAATTTAGTATCAAAATCATCATCTCTAATTTCACACGAATTAACAATCATATTTTTTACTTACCTCTGTTCAAACGAAACTTGCAATGTTTTTCCATTAACTCTGCACTAACAAGACTTCTAATTTCCTTTAACGAAAGTATAGCACCTTGTTCGCATTGTGCATCTGGACAGCTAATTTCATATGCACCTTCTTCAATTTCAAATTCGACATATGCTTTCATACACTGAAAAATTTGATTTATATTAGCAATGATTATATCTTTTGTTGATATATGAAGATAATGAATTATTGCAGGATCACAACATGAGTTTAATAGACAATACAAATGATATAATCATTTATACTTACATCTTTACAATAGAAACAACCACAGCCTTCAATTTTAAATGTTTTGGATAGGGATGTATCAGTAAGACAAAGCTTACAAAAGATTCTTCCAACTGTTTGTTGTGAACCTGTTGGGACAAAATTTCCAGCAGCTAAACTGTATCTCGAGCCAGATGCCAATGACAACAAACTAGAACAGCGAGAGCAAACTCTACTGCGATTGATAGCTCTACCCTCTAGAGCTGACGTACTTAATCCAACTGCAGTTTCACATTTTCTAAGAGCGCCAGGAGCTAAATTAATCCAACTGCTGCCTCGAGCTTCTAAACTAGCACTGCTTTCAGGCCTTAAAAGTGGAGAATCTATGCCTTTTCCTGGTAAAGTTCTTTCGGTTAAAGAAAGATTGACTACACTTGATTCTTTACGTAACAAGGGTAATCTTATACCAGTGAGTTTATTGGTCTTATCTATTTTCTTCTGATTGTTGACAGTTTTATTAGGTGGATTAACAGAAGTTACTGAACTATTTGTCGTGCCCATATCCATTAAGGGGGCTCGTCGTACGACGAGCGAGTGTAGGCTAGGCATCCCCTGATTTAAAATCTCTAATTTCACTGCCACTTACAGACAAGAGCTGTGCATACTGACTTTTTTAGGGCAGTTTGCTCCAGCACTTGCTGCGAAATAAAATCCAACGTGCAATGTATCAAATTATTACATACATATGATCCTTTCCCATGATCATTTTCCAACAGTGCATTATATTGATACAACTTCACATTTGTCATAGCTCTTTATGCGTTGTAAACACTAGGCGCGACATTGGCTAAGCGATTAATTCTAAGAGAAATTGTTATCATCGGTATATTTCATTTGCATAAGCTGACTGCAAAATTATAAAACCATATCGATGAACACTTTAACATAAACATGTCGAGGACACGATGATTTTTTTTCTCTTTCTTTATATGGTAATATAGAAAAAAAAATATATATATATATACATATATACATATATATATATATATATATATATATATATATATATATATATATATATAATTGAGGCTCTCCTACTTTATGGATAAGAAACGTATATATTGTCCCGAACAAAACGAAAAGAAGGGAGCCCCGTTACGTTTTCTTCTCTCAGCGATGATCGAGACGACTCCCAATTATTTTCATACGTTTACTCGCTCGTAATATATATATATATATATATACATATATACATATATACATATATACATATATATCGTCTGACGTATTTTTTAATGGATGTTAAAGGAAAAAAAGAAAAAAGGAAAAAAAAAGGAAGAGAGAAAAGAAAAGAAAAGAAAAGAAAAAAACATCATCTGCACATCTCTAAACACAGAGCAACTTTCACCGTTATTCGAGTGCACGAATACGACACTGTGCACTTTCGGAATTGTCAGTATTTGATAACACAGTTTCTCCAAGCTTTTTCACCTGTCCTGTCACGAAGTACATCAAAGTGCATAAGAGAATATAGTATATCCCGAGCGATTACTTCCGCCCCCACTCACTTATTTTTCTTTCTTTAAGAAGAAACCAAGCGTGTATCGCGATCGGCGCGCATCATTCTCTCTCTCTCTCACTCACTCACTCACTCTCTCATTCTCTCTCTCTCTCTCTCTCTCTTTGGGATATATACTTTTATAATTTATATAATTGTTTTCATTTTAATGCAACATTTGTCATCTCCTTTCCGATTTATTCGACTTAAATAAAAAAATAAAAAAAGTGTGCTAATGAAAGAGAGAATAAGAGACAACACTCAGAACTCGACGTTTAGGAATACATATATCATTTGTGTTCTATTATGATCCATATTTAGGAATTCTTCCAAATAATAATTTCCTTATTTGAAATCTCGTCTTTTTCTTCTAGTTGTTTTTTCTTTTTCTGTCTTTTTTTTTTCCCCTTCAAATCCGGATAAACGAGACCAATTTTAAAGGTATATTCATACGGTTCCACAATTATAACAAATTAAACTCGTTTCTATAATACCTAAGAGATTATGGAAATCATTTTAGACTTGGTTATGGTATGCGCGAGCGCGTGAACGCTCATATTGAAAAGGAGAGGAAAATATTTTTTTTATGCGATTTCACGAAACAAGTTGGGAAACATAACTAGGAAAATAAAGATATCTACATTTCTGATCGGATTTTATCTATTAACCATTAAAACTCTATTCTACGATGAGTTTCTACAAAAATAGACAACATCCGAGGAAATATATTGCACGTTCGCACGATCAGTTGAGTGCACGGATATAATGGCACTTGCGCCATAAAGATTAAACTCTCATTGGCTGACATCCTTTTCGCGGTAAGTTTAAAAATGATAATTTTATAATCTATTAACGATCACTTTTTATATATATATATATATACATTTATATATATATTTATATATATATTTATATATATATATAAATATATATACACATTTGTTAAAAAAGAAATTTTTAATCAATACAATATATTATTCATATTTAATAATCGATTGTCGCTTGATCTTGCGAAAGTCCAAACATTATATAAAATAATCGATAAAAAAAAATAAAAAAACAAAAGAAAAAAACTGATTTACAATAAGAAAATCAAATATTGCAATTTTAATAGAGATCATATATATATATATATATATATATATATGTCTCTACATATAATGATATATATATATGTCTCTACATATAATGATATATATATATGTCTCTACATATAATGATATATATATATATACACATATATATATATATATATATATATATATATTCATATATAATTACATTTTATTTAACGCATATAAACATTGATATTTACATATTATTTAAATCAGCATTGCGTAAATCTAGCTTTGTTTTTATAAATTTTACATGATAATTATTATCACTACACACTGAATAATTTAATTTGAAAAGATTCTATAGATCAATTAAAATTTCTCTGACGGAAGAAAAAGAAAGAAAAATTGTAAGTATAAATAATTTACGCGCCGCTGATCTAAATGATAAGAATAGTTTACAATGACACATTAATACTTATTATCAAAGGAGTTCGAATCGTATAAAAATTAAGCAACTTGTGCTTACTAAAGATTTATTCGTAATATCTAGAATTATTAATTTCTTGATTAATAAGAGATTCACATAATCACATACATACGTATAAATTAAAGGAAACTTATTAAGAGTTTCTATAAATTAGTTGGTCTATAAAAAGAAGTAAAAAAATGACAAGCCCTACTTTGAACACTTTTTTTCACATCTTTCTCGACACTCTGTTTCCATAATTGATTTGTTTCGTCAGTTTTCTTTTCTTTTTCGTAATATGCTTCACAAACCACCCTTTGCTATTTTGAGTGAGTATTATTATATATTAAATAGGAATATATATTTGGACTAGAATAATTTTCTGACATATTTCATTTATAAAATTTTATACAATCGATATAATTACAATTTACCAATCACTTATTTTTTTGTTCAAATAAAACGAATATTTCACGATGAAAATGTAAAGTAACTGATAATAATGTAATTATATTTGTTATGTGGGCTGTGAAGCATCTTTCATTGTGTATACAAATGTTATATTTAAAATTAAAAAAGTTCTAAAGAGAATATATCTCGTACATATGAATATTTCCACAATTCATATTTTACAAAGAAATATTGCCAGGTGCACTATACTGTCCTTTCCTGGAATGTGTATCGACTGCTCTGACTGCAAAGTAATAATTGTTACCTTCTGAAAACTAAAAAATTTATGATTTATAACTCGTGAAAAAATATTTAAACAGACTTGAATTATCATATATCTATATTATTATTTTCTATTATTATTATTATTATTATTTTTATTATTATTATTATTACTATTATTATTACTATTATTATTACTATTATTATTATCATTATTATTATTATTATTATTATTATTATTATTATTATTATTATTATTATTATTATTATTATTATTATTATTATTATTATTATTATTATTATTCACCTGAGTAAGAGTACAAGCCATAGGCAGTGGTAGAGCTCGAACATCGCCAACTTTCTTCCAAAGACCTGTGCTTGGAGGCACACCTGCGACTTCTTGATAAGCATATAATTGGTAACTAACTATATCGGCGTATTTTTCCGAAAGTGTCATATTCCATGATAACACTATACCTAGAAAATATAAAGCATATAATGATTATTTTGATAATTAACTTTTCATGATTAATTTGTGTACATGATACATACCATTTGCAACTTTGGATATTTTTAATGAAGGAGCTGGCGGAGGCAGTTTTGATACAGGATTAATGGCATAATGAGGAGAGTCTGGAAGAGGTGCTGGATGCTAAAATGAATTATAATATTTTAATAGATTAATTTATTATATTTCAAACAAAAAGTAATTTGTTCTATTTGTAAATAACCTACTTTTTTTAGTTGCACATTTGGACCAGCAGATGTTGTTATTACACGTACAGTACCATTTGCATTTGTTGAAATGCCTAAATAATTTATATTTAAAAAAATAAAAAAAAACGCGTTAATGTGAATTAGATAGAAATATAATATAATCAATATTGCTTACCATTTTTATATGCAAGAGTTGTAAATGGTGGCCTATTACCTGAATTTACAGGTCGTATCTATAAACCATGTAATCTCAAATAATTTACAGAACTATTGTTAATATGTCACATTGATTTAATCTCTTATCTATGAGATAATATATTGTTATACCTGATTAGAATTTGATGTTATTAATAGCTGTCTTCCTGCACCAACTCCACTTTGCATTACATATGCTAATCTAGGTGCGTTCATATTATTCTACAAAAAAAAAAAAAAAAAAAAAAAAAAAAAAAAAAAAAAGAGAGAAGAAGAAAAGAAAAAAATACACTCATTTATGTTTTGAATATTATTATTAAGATGATATTTATAAGGCATGAAAAAGAGTACTTTACATACTACTAAAGCAGTTGGTGTTGGATGACTCGCTGTATGTACCACTCTGATGTTAGCAGGTTGAGTCGTTATAGCTACATTTGCAGGAATTGTTTGAATTACTCTAGGAAAACAGGGTTGCGGTGTTTTCTGTTTAACGTTTACTCCTGGATCTGCGCTTGTGGTCACGCTTGTTATACTTACTGTAGCTGCAAATAATAGACAATACATTGTACAATTATCTTATATTATAAAATTACATATATAAATTTACTTTAAAACATACATTTATTTTTTTCTTCTTCATCTGTTAAATCAATGAGATCATTAGTCTTCGTTTTAGAAACATTAATCGTTGTACTTTGTCGATTTGTTTGAAGTGGAACTTTTCCATTTAGTACAACTGTTTGTTGTTGCTGTAAAATTAATTGTCAAATATATAAGTATCATACTAAGTTCTTTTGTTTTTACAATTATAATTTACAATCCGTACATTTGGTAATAATTGTTGAATGTTATTGGGTTGATTTTGCAAATTTACAGAGTGTTGAGGTTCAACATTCTTAGACACAACCAAAGCAGTTGGAGTCACAGTAGAAATTAATGGTGGAGGCTGCACTACATTGTGCGATATAGTAACAGGTTGAGCAACTATAGGTGTCTCAAGTTTCCTGGGAGATCTTACTTTTATTCCTTTTCTTTGATTTAGTGCATTATTGTTCGTTTCATTAACTACAGAATTAATTGTAGTGGATATATTTACAGATTTTAATGTAGGACTTTGATGTAACTGTCTTAAACTTTGTATTCCATGTTCCTATATTTATTAAACAACTAAATAAAAGGTTGTAAATCAAAACTTTAGATAGATTATTAATATTATTTATATATTACCGTAATAAAATTAACTTGTAATCCAACAGACCGATTAATCTTTATCGGTGCAGTTGGTTTATCATTATTTGCCCGTCGATCTGCCGCATTACGACTTAAAACCATTTCAAAATCCTTAATTTGTTTTGCTAATAGTTGACACCTAGTACGCGTTGCTTCCTGATTTTTTTCAGATATTCGTGCTTGCTCTCTCAATCTTCCAATTTCACCACGCATTGTTATAGTCTCTACAATTTTCTGTATTAAAAGTTCCTCCAGTTCCTGAAGCATATTTCGTGTTAATCATATATTTATGTTTATATTACATTATCATAGACTGTCTAAATATATTCTTACTTCTTGTTTTAATTTAGGTAATTTTTCTTTGAGATCTCTTCTGAAAAACTTATTTATATAATTAAGACTTTTAATATCATCCCTGTGATCATCTTTTATCGTAACATCTTCGAGCTCTGAACTTCTGAGCCTTTTATTATTACCATTAATAGTTACATCCATATCAGAACAATTTCGTTTTAATGAAGGAGAAAGAGATTCCATGTGTTGATTAGCTTTATGATTTACAGTTACAAATTTATCAGAATTATCACTAGATTCTACATCACTATCCTGTACCAAGAACTTTTTCCTTATGATTTCTTCTGCATTTTTTGCTGTTCTTCGTTTCTGTCGCCCTTCTATTCCTAAAACAATTTTTCTATTTAATGTATGTATCTTTATAATATTCGAAAAATATTATTCATTATTATAATACAATATTCATACCTTGCCTATTTTCTTGAACATTATCTCGTGCTAATAAAGCGGCCAATTTTTTTGATCGTCTTCTTCTGCGTGGTTTTGGAATTTCTAAATTTCTTTTTTCACTTTCATCATTTACATTTTTTGTATCACCAGTGGACTCTAATGATGTAGCTCTATTTACTATTGACGAACTTTCATCAGTAGAAATTAAAAGTTCGTTAATGTCACTGTCCACATTAATAGCTTCTGATGTTGATTGATTAATATTACGTGTATTATTGTTATCAGAAATAATTTTTGATGAATTCAACTTTCCTGTTTGCTTTTTTAAAGAATGATTATCAGACAAATTTGGAGATGAACATGAATTGATTTCATCGTCTAAAACCTTTTTACCACATTTACTATTATTAACTTTTTGATCGATTATAAGACAATTTTGTACAGTTTTACTATTATCATTATTAAGATTTGATACTGCATGTTGGCTATTTTCCTGACATTGATTTAGTATAGTAGTGCTTGTATTAATTTTCTGTTTATCCTCAGAATGTTCATCAATCGTAGAATGATCATTCTTACTATTAGAAACAGTCATATTATAATTGCTGTTTAATTCTTTATCATTCTTAATTAGTCTTAAATTCTGTTTTCCATCATAACATTGATCATTTTGTTTAATATCTATTTTTTCATTCTGATCCTCTAACTTTAATTGACTGCACTCTTTATCTTCATTTTTTTCTTTTAAGGAAGATTTATCATTTTCTTTACAAATCGAATTATTTAAATTCTTAGAATTATTTAGATCATCAGCTAATTTACTATCATCACAATTTTTTTTAATCAAATTACAATTTTTCGTTTTTGTTGTTTTTTCATTTTTATTTTTTGTTTTTGAAGAATTATTAACCGATTCATTATTACATTGTTCACTGATTAATTTATCATTATCCTTACTGATTAAAATTATATTATTTGTTTTTTTGTAATTAGATTTTAAAATCTTTATCTCTTTATTTTCTATGTTTATATTATCCTCTTTATCATTATCTATTTCATTATCAGATTTTTTATTACATTCTTCTTCATTTTTCTTATCTATAATAGAATTGAACATTGTCGTTTAATTAACGAAATCATTAGATATTAATTTTGATTGGAAAATTATAATTTTTCTGACAAAATATTTATTATATTATACTCTTGAAATAAAACGTTGAAAAATATATAATTGTAGCTTACCCATATTTTCTGTTTCTTTATCACTTTGATTAGGATTTACACATGTTAAGGTAACTTCTTCTACTTCGGCCTCATCATCAGATAATCGTAAACGCAAACTATCATCTGACAAGGCTTCTTCTTCATCTCCATCTTCACCTGTTCTATATAAAAGTTCTTCTTCTTTTTGTTTTGATAATTCATCAGTATTTTGTATATCGATTTGTGCATGATTAGATGCAATGGACGTGGAAACATGCACTGTATCATTCCTTAATGTCTCCATTATTTAAAGAGAGGCAGTATATAGAGAAATATCACAGCAATCTCATTTATTTTGTAACACTTTACTGTTTTTTAATCTGTGAATAATCCAAATGTAACTACATTGAGAATTATTTATAATGAAAATTTCTTCATGTAGTTATTACTATTCTTATTTATAATATTTACTCTCTTCTCACACAAATAAAGAAAATAATTAATCTTAGTATTCTAATATATATTCACTGCTTTTTTATTTACTACTAAATCATATAGAATTCCAATCTATTATCAATATATTCATACACACATCATAATAACAATTAGATATTGTGTGTGCGTGTGTGTTTGTATATATTAATAATAATAATTTTAAATTATTGTGTTTTCTATTTCAAATGATATTATATAAAACAAACAAAATTGTCTTATTACCAAAAACAAAACAAAACAAAACAAAAATAGAAAAAATAGCATTACAATTAGGGATTAACAAATGACAAATGACAAATAAAAAAAATACATAAATTTATCACTTGAAAATAATGAAAAAATTGTAACAGCTCACCACAAAGATTAGTGAATTATCCAGCAAAATTTTCAATTTTACTTTCATACCGAAACAAATTAACTACCAAATCATCGAATTATTAAAGAAAAAGGAAATTTTGTTAAAGCATCAATAAATCTTTGGATTACATATCCCAAAGCTCATCTAATCATTCGAATAATCGTGAAATAATTCCCGTTACATGCATAACAATGATCTCAATCATATTTCATTGATACGATAAATATTGAAAGTAATTACTTTATAATATGACGCGTATCGAAAATTTTTCTTATCTACCCACATTTTTTTTCTATTCGTTCGTACGTTCGAACGAAAATTTAATATTCTTTCACGGTACATTTTCAAAAAAATCATAAAATTTGAAATTATTTGCAATACGAAGACCGGGGACACGCTGTCGTACGCATATATACACTAAGAGAGAAATCAATGAATAAACCGACACAAAACAAAAATGTTCGTTAAGAATCACTAAAAACGAACATATTGTGTAGAAAGTTGGCATGTCATACTTCGAATTCAGATCAATGCTCTCCGCACGATGTCAGCACTTACGTCATTCAGGCGATTCGCGCGCTAAACACATAGTACAACTTTTCTTTTTTAAATTTAATCGAAAACTAAATCAGTTATCGTTCAGAAAAATATAAAATATTAAAAAAAAATCGTACCAATGATAATTGAGATTTCAATGAAATATCAATTTTATCACTTCCGTATAATCGAATGTGTAACGTCAAAGGGCCCCCTTAGTCAACGCGCCGTTATTACGGTCGGCCCTGGCCCATAAGTAGTGGAATATGCAAGATGGCGGACCGACAATATATACTGTATTCAATTCTTTGCTAAAAAATTATATTCATCAGCCGTAATACATTTGGCAGAAAAAAATAGAAGATATCGTGAATCAAAAGAAAATAGTTTTTTTTTTCCGTGTCTAATTGTCCTCAACGTGTATGGCACGTATAAAGAACACTTTTGAATACACTAACGTATCAAACGCACGCTTTGCAAAAGCATACACGAACTCGCGTATCATTGACTAAAGGAAACGAATCACGAAATAGTTCGTTTCGATGAAAGATTTATATACCATTTATCGATATATTTGCATATATATATACATATATATACTAATAAAATCGATTTACATATATATTGCGTAAATGGCATCGAAAATACAAGATTATCGATAGGTTTGGACAGTGTGAACGTAGAACACTGAACCTAGGCCCCGAGATGTGTTCTGGCGAAATTAACCGAAGATACACGAAGAGGATTTACTATGGTAGCTGTCTGTATCGCAACACGGAGGGGGATATATCCATTTCGGTCATTCCGAAGTAAATAAAGATGTCCCAAAAAGAATATTTTCTTCTTCAAAAATATGTTGATCCTTTCTTTGTAGACTGTTGAGTAGCTTAATCGAGTAGACCTGTGATAGCTAACGTACTGTTGAAACGTTACTTTTTTTTTAGTATATATATTACTCATTTCTATTAATATTAATACATATACATATATATATATATATATATATATATATATATATATATATGTAAATTATTTCACATTTCTTATATTTATTAATATTAGGATATGTTTTAAACGTTCGTAAAGTTTGAAATAGAACATAATAATATTTAATAGTTGAAATATAACAAGAAATTTGTATAATGCTTATAATAACTTTTTTGTTTTCTTTGGTCGATTAAACATTATCTAATTTTTTTTCGATCATGGAACGCATCAATGAAAATATACAGATTAGATAAGATGTAAATAAAAAATAACAAGCATGTGCATGATGTGCGTACGCGTGTTTTATAATCTACATTTTCTATTGATACATTTTTACCTACATATGTAACAGTGCAATTCTACTTTTGGAAGATATTTATATAGATATTTTCAATTGAATGATCCTTGAAAATTATTAATCTATAATTATAATGCTCTTTAATAATAACAAAAAATAATAATTTGTTTGCATTAAAAATATTCATTAATATATAAATATTGATACTTTAACCTAATAAAACTGACAAGTTCTCTTTATTGAACGGTCCATGAATAGCCCCACCCTCGCATATTCTGCGCCTTTTGATAAGACCAACGTGCGCTATACTAGCAGTACAATGTTTAAGCTATGTGGTGGGAGAAATCATGTGCTTATACGCAAAACATTTGATCGATTTTTACTTTCATACTTCGATTTATACTTTGATTATAATCTTTATATCCAACCTACTTGTTTTTATTCAATTTTAATTTTTTTTATTTATTTATTAGTTTTTTTTTAATATTATTTTGTTTTTCTACTTCAGTCCTGTGTATGCACTGTTTATTGCACTGTGTATTGCACTGTTATATATATATAACATATATGACGAATATATAAAATATTTTGTCTTAAATAGAAAAAATAACTACAAAATATTACAACAAAATTTGTACAATATTAAAAAAAAAGAAAAATTAATTTGTGTTAAGGTATTACAATCGTTCGATCGTAACATTACAATTATATATTAAAGATTTTGCTATTAAGGACAATATTTTACATTTCTCATAATTATATTTCAATCGAAAGTAAATTAAAATAATAAATAATTCAAGATCTATAGACTCTGTGTATTGTCAAAATAAAACAAAACATCATCATGTCAACCATTTCATATGAAACAACAAAATGGCGTATCCAGGAATTCTAAAATGGTTGCTTTTGGATCCAGTAGTAATCGTCTATATATACACATATAAGTGTATATATATGTACATATGTACTCATACATGTAGCAATGCATGTACGTATGGATGTGATTCCGGATATTGCGATTAAAAGCTTGGGACTTAAGACCCATAGTTACTGACGGTACTTCTTTTATTATATGAAAAACTATATCATTGAGATTATTATTTGTAAACTCTTGAAAATAAAGATAACAAAACCACAATTAAATATTGTTACAATACCGCGAAAGATAAATTCTTATTTTATACTTAACCGTCAATAATATAATTATTCCTTAAAAATACAAAAATTGTAATAGGTTAATGTACTCTATCAACACTTGTATTCAACCATAACCACTTCGATTAGATTATAGTGATTATTTAAAAAATGGACGATATCTATTTATACTACTATGAAAAATGATGATACTATATGTAAACTTACATCACAATATTGAGTAGAAGACTGTAGTCAATGGTGCACATATAATCCACGTTTCGAAAACGTATGTTTATTACAAATATACTAAGAACGAAGACACACTTCTATACCACTTCATCGTATAACTGCAACATTGCACTTCGAGCAAGCAAAATGCGACGTTGTCACTTCTTCCTTTTATCCGTTATTACACGCAATGTGTGTGTAGACGCAGTTTTCAGATTCCAAATATTCTTAAAGATCCAGGATAAATCTTAAATTCTCATGAACGGGAATATATTAATTGATGTGTAAGTTTCTTATTGATGTTATAGAGTTAATATACACTCGTTTTCGTATATGTATTTTATCAAGTAGAATAAGTATCCTACACACGCATGCGCGTAACGTTAACAACCTCTTACATATTTCAGTCGAATCTTAAATTCTTTTGGAATTTATGTGTTGCATGAAGTTTGTTTTTTTTTTTTGCCTTTTTTCCTTCATACTACCTGCATCCTTTTCTTCTCCTAAATTCATGTTCTACAAGATACGTAATATTACATGTGTATATATTTATCCTTTTTGTATCTGTTTCTCTCATTCAACAAAGATAACTTGCACATCAGGTTACACCACAAAAATTAAGAATACCACATTTATTATTTTCTTATAAAATCTCTTTCTCTCTCTCTCTCTCTCTCTCTGTCTCTCTTTCTCTCTTTCTGTCTGTCTTTTATCTCCATATCGTACGATTTATATCAATAATAAATTTCAAAAAATATACGATATTTTAAACATATATAAATATGACATTTAAATTAATGAGACATGAATACATAGTGATATTTCCAAATAAATGTATTAAATCCATAATATGAATATATATTTTTTTTTATATTATAAAATCTGAAAATATATTAATGATATAGGAAAAAAAAAAGAAATTATATATATGTTAAAATCTTAGAGTTAGTATCCTTTCTAATCTGTTTGATAAAAGAAGTAAAGAAAAGAGGACAGAACTATATAATAAAATAAATTGTTTATTAATTTTAATTGTAATTTATCTTTTTTAAATAACTATCTTTTTTGTCGTTATTAAGTAAAGAATTTTCGATCAGTGATGTACCTTGAATTTTATGCGCGTGCGTCAAAAATTACTGATATATAAAACACAGTAAAAATAATAGAATTACTCAGAAATCATTATGAAGAAGAATTACTATATGTATCAAATAATGAAATGTCTAACGGCCGCTTGCGCTCGCGCGAATTTTATTGATTATGATTAAACACAAGGTTGTAAGAAGTTGGAACATATAAGTTGGATAAGAATCTTATACACGTTAACATGCAGTTATATACGTATTTATAAATGTTGTTAAAACACAAGCATAGACTATTTCAAAATTGCCAAATATATTTAATTATATCGTATATATTAACAGATATTTGAATACTAAAGTGCAAAAATAAATTGAAAAGAACAATTAATATGTGTTACTAACCTGAAAGTGTGGTAGCATACTGTATAATCATATTTTTATTATTAAATCAATCATATTAAAGTAATCGTAAACCTACTATTTCTAAAATAAGGGAACTTGAATTTATATAATGAAATACATATACATATGTTTATTAATGTTTTTATAATTTTTGATAAAATCATAATTAACCTTTCTCCCCCAAAATAAAATTTATATAATAAACATATTGTAAAGTTAGTTTTAAATAATTTTAAAAATAATACTGGTTGATATAATCTAATATTTTTGATATATTATTTTAGTATCCAATAATATTAATTTATGCGAATGTGATTTTTTCACAAAGAAGATATTAATTTATTTTGTTGGTCATAATAGGAATTAATAATTTTTTCGATTATCAGTTTTATGTTATCACTTTATTGTAATATATAATTCTATCAAACTTAGTGAATAATTAAATTTATTTAAATGTAAATGAGTTAAAGGTAAATGAGTTATATAAGACATGATATTTTTTCATGTAATTTCTTATATAACTTATATTGCAATAGCAATATTATGATGTAATAAATTCTACAAATCCTTTATATTTATATAACACATTTCGAATGATCTAATATGAAAATTATTATATCGTTAGTCATATTTGTCATTAAAAAAAAAAACGTGCTATAATTATAATTTTAAATGGAAAAATATTTTTCTCTGAAATAAAACTTAGAAGAAATTTTAGGTTAATTAAAACTTTTTAATGCATGCTACTATATCGAAAAATTTTTTGTTATTAATCTCATTAGTAAAATAAATTTTAGTTTTTTTAAGATGAACTGTGACAAATATGTTAGATTTACAATATTTAAAATATAAATGTAATGTATTTCAGATACAATATTGTTTAAAATTTGATATATTTATATAATGTAAAACATTTCTATTTTTTTTTAAGTAATCTCTCTTTCCTTTTCTTTATATGCTTTTTAACTTTACTTTTTCTCTTCTCAGCTTGTTGTTCTTTAACAGCTTTTTTGCGGGCCTATAAATAAATTCATTATAAAATCATTGTATATTAGTTGTAAAACTGAAAGTGCATGAACATTTAATTCAAGTTCAACAAAAAATTAATAGAAAAAACCAATAAATAACCTTTTTGCTTTCGGGACTCTCATTTCGAGGACGTGCAGAACTAACAAATTTAGATTCATTTTCTTTACTACTTTCATCGTCTGTATCTTCAGTATCTGAGCATGTACTTTCTTCTTCTTCTTTTGCATCATTATCTAAAATATTTTTTTTAGTCTTATCGGTAATAATATCAGGTGTTTCATTTGGTTTTGACAAATCTGCTTTTAATCCAATTAACGTTTTATAGATCAAATCTTCTTTTCCTGATTTAGCAAGTTTTATATCCCGTTCTATATCAATCACTTGACTTAATCTTTGCGGTATATAAGCTTGCTTAAAAACCTGTTCATTTATTTCCTGATCAGGACAACTTTCATGATTTATTTTTTGTTGTATTTGATTTGACACTGTATCTAAGTATTCATCCATATTATTTTCATTCACGGTTGGATCCGTTATAAAGTCAAACAGTGCTTTTACTGACATTACACATACGTCATTTTTCTTAAAATATTCTAAAAGCAATATAAATAATTCAATTAATTTTATATTATAATTCATTTTACTTAACATTAATCTGAAGACTAACCAGTAATATTTGTACAATCTTTCCTAAGAAATTCAAGAGCCATAGGATGATCATGTTCAACTGATTGAGATACATCTATTATTACAATAGATCCATCATGATAGAGCATATTGTATTCACTTAAATCAGCATGAACTAATTTACATTTATTGTACAATTCCCACATGATTTTTATACAGTTTCTATAAAGTTTTCTAAATTTTGAATCAGTAAGAGCAACATCTTTCAATTTAGGTGAAGGCCAACCATTGGTACCAATAAAGTCCATTAATAATACATGACTACGTAATAGAATAGGTTTAGGAGCATTTACACCTGCTTGATCTAAGCGTGCTAAATTTCGTAATTCTTTTTCAGCCCATATCCTTACCATTTTGCGTGGATTGTGGCGACAATATCCATGCCGAAAACGAAATTCTCCGGTTACATATTTATCACGATCTTTAAATTGTAAAATCGAAGTTTTATAGATTTTTATCGCAAATTCAACACCAGTTTTAGAAATTGCATGATAAACATTAGCTTCTTTTCCAGTAGATATACAACCATTAATCTCAGAAATTATTCCTTGATTTAAGAGCTTAAACAATATCATTTTGGTCCGAGGATCCATAACTTGCTCAACCGTTGCACGATCATGTTTATCTTTTGTTCTAATGCGATCTTTTTCCATACGTTTATCAGTTTTAATAAGAAAATTAGCAGCATGATCTGGTAGAGATGGTCCTTCATATTTTTCAATATTGATCTTATTTGCATAACGACGAAATAATTTATCGTTTGGTTGAAAATTAGAAATCTTACTAGAAGCAGCTTGTGCATTAGTATGTCGAGTATTTGGACTTTTTATATCCTTCTGACTACTACTGGCTTCATTTACATCCCAATCATAACTATCGTCTTCGAAATAATCTTCTTCATCTCTATCGTCAGTTATTGCTAATTCTTTAATATCTTCATCAAGTGTGCATTGAAATAATGGTGCTCCCTTTGAATTAACCACTCTGTGAATAATGAAATAAAATAAAATAAAATAAAATAAAATAAAATAAAATAAAATAAAATAAAATAAAATAAAATAAAATAAAATAAAATAAAATAAAAAACAAAATATTTATCTTTATGAACAATATAGGTTAACAGAATATAATTTATCGAAAATAGAAAAAATTATGAAAATATACATACGGTATTTCAGTTTCATCGGCATCGCTAAATTGTCCTTCATCATATGTTTCAAACATGATGTCAATATAAAATGAATTTCTTCAAAATAATGTTAGATTCAACTTACAATATTGTAATATATATACAACTATGAAATAATTTCAGAAAGACTCAAATTATTAATGTAACATAATTTGTACAAATTATAAATAAAAAAAAAAAAAAAATGAAAATAAGATTATAAATATATTTCTTCTATTAAGTTTTAATAATTATTTCATTTGATATAATTTTACAAAAACTTTATATATGTATACACTTTTCATAAAGAGAACCATCCAATAATCGTAACCTTGGTCTATCGCGCACATCGTATTAGAAAATATTCCCTAGATATTCGCCACTCTGTGTATATTTTTTGTTCTATGGTTAATACGTAGGCGTCTTTTTGTTTACTTTCAACATTTAAAATATATCAAAATATATGCATAATTATTTCATTGGATTAACATAAAGTAAGTTCACTAATGTTATGTTAATATGAAAACAACTATTTTTATAAGATATTCATTTTTATAAATTATATTTTTTCATACATTATAAAGAAAATTGAAATACAGATGCATATATTTCGAATATCTTTTTATATACTTTTTTTTACATTATCAATTGCATTAATCTAAGAAAAAAATAACATAAAAAAATACATGCAATTTAAAATATGATATAAATATAAAAATGAAAATAATTACCATACGAACAATATCAATTTGATATACATGAATTGAACAAATCAATTTTGACAAGTTCTATATCAATACATATACAGCAATGTTAGATACCATGCGATCTGTAGAAGATTGTAATGCTATACGTTATGTATCGTATAGAACCGCTGTAAAAATGCAAGTAATACATCGAGAACTTCAAAGTAAGTAATATATTAAATAGAACATAACTATATAAATAATATATAATTATCTATTTTGTTTTAGTGCAATATGTACAGTTAGAATTAATAGCTGGTGTATTTGAACGTCATAGATTATCAATTACAGAAAATTCTGTAAACTTAGATCCAAGTGAAATAGAAGATGTTCTTTCTGACATTTATTTTGCAGCTCGTAAAGAATCTAACTTTGACTTTGATACTGATAACGTAACAAAGCTAGCTGTCAATTATATTTTGTGTACCTTTGATAAGTAAATATAATTTATATATTATTTTTCTATATAATATTTGTTTACAAATTATATATTACATTTAATAATTAATATTGTCATGGGAATATGGTAAAAAATATTAAATATTTTAGGCAAAATACTAGAAGTATTACAGTCTTTTCCGTAAAACTTGCATTGATATTAATGAGCTGCGGAAGATTGCAAGAGAAATATGGATATCTTTATCAGCAATTAGCCGATCATAATGCTTGTTTGTCTCGAGCTGGTCTGCATACACTATTAATTAATATCTGTAAAATAACTGAAATGCTTGGAGAAAATATGACCTATGGATATCACCACATTCAATCACATATAGATAGTTGCTTCGAGAAAGTAATACATGATATTTAAATATTTTTTTATATACTACAATTGATATATACTTAATATTTTTTATATTCCAATCGTAGTCTCAAGGATGTTTAGGAGTTACAGAATCAGAATTTGCCACATGGATTATGCAAGAACCACCTTTACTTGTTTGGATAACAACATTCAATAGAATGAAATCTGCAGAACACAGTCAGTATTTTTAAGATAAATTTTTATATATTTTTTTGATAAATTTATAACTATATTTATAAATATTTAATGTAATATTTCCAAGAATTTTTACCAAAAAATCTTTTCTTTCAGTTGTACACAATATAAAATGTTCTTCTTGTAAAGTAACACCAGTGCAAGGACCAAAGTACTCGTGCTTAAAATGTACTGGTTACCATCAATGTCAGGAATGCTTTTTACTAGGTAAAACAACTAATAAACATAAGTTAAAACATCCGGTACGGGAATATTGTGCAAAGGTATGAGTTTTACATTTGTATATTATAAAAATGAGAAATTTGATTAATATCTCTTTTTTTGTAGACATCAAATCGAGAAGCAACGAAACTAATCATTGAATTAATCAGAAATAAATTAAGATTGTGTCCTTCTAAAATGGTTATAATGAGCACAGAGGAATCACAGATAAGTGCTGTTAGGTTTGTTAATAAATTATAATTTTTATTTGTTAATATTTATGTGCTTTTCCTAATTTATTTATAATGTATTGTAGTAATGTAGCAAAGCAATCAGATTGCTCCACATTAAGAAGTACAATCAAAAGGAAAATTTTAAGTGATCCTCAAAAGGAATTGCAAAGCATTATTATGCATTTAGAAGAAGAGAACAAGCAACTTCAAATAGAATTACTTGATATTCAGGGAGCTAGAGCGGAGAGACTTCATCGTCATAGAGCTACTATTGAATCCCAACTACAACGTTTAAAAATATTAAAAGTATATATTAATCATAAAAATTGTTCCTAACACTATTGTATCATTATAACAATCTATTAATATTATTATTACATTTATTTGCAGAAATACTTATTTGCAGATCCTCCATATGAGGCACAATTTATTAATCGTTTACAAAGCACACCTATGCTTCCACTGTCATCTAGAGTTGCAGCTCTACCATTAGAATTTGAATTAAGCCCAATAATACATCAAGACACCCTAGAAAGACATTTATCTAATGTAACTGATAGAAACAAAATACAAGCCTCAAGTAATTTCAATACATCATTAGACAAAAATGATACAAATGGTCTTACTTGTAGTGAAGAAGCATCTTCAAGTTCATTTGTTAAAGCACCTAGTAGCACATGTATAGAATTAAGCACATGGATAGGAGGTAAATAATTATTGTTTTATAATAGTGTGTACAAATACTTTCACATTTTTGTTATTTTTAGGAAAACGATCGGAACTAAATTTACCCGATAGTGGCTTTTCTCAGTGGTTAAATAATGGAGATTCTAATTATAAAGATGATAGGCAAACCAATAAACTTGCAATAGGAAATATTGCTTGTAATGAATCTCCAATAACAATTTCTGATTCTCCTGTTGGACCTCAAAGAGATAATACACCTTCTTCTCTACAACGACCTGATAAGCATTCACAACACAGTAGTTTACAAAATATTCAAGGAGATCTCAATGATATATTGGATAGATTGCAAAACATGGTTGCAAATGATTGTTTACTAGAAGGTAAGTAATTCTAAAAACAATTTTTTTTTTTTTTTTTTTTTTAATTTTTAAGAGACACGAAAGCAATATAGTTATAAAAATATATTGTATTGAATAATTTGTAAGAAAAAACTGTATTATATATATTTCTACTTGTACTTTTTTTTACATCTTATAACTATTTTACAATAATAAGCATTTTTATTGCATACAGAGTCCTATGTTGTCAATGATAATTGCAAATTAAAGCGAGCAACAACAGAAATGGAAGATCTATTAACTGATCTTATTGAAGGCATGGAATCTCGTAAAACTAAACTTACTACTATTGTTTGAGAATTTACAAAGATTATTTTATAAACAAAGACCAGAATAAGAAGTTAAGTATGATAATAAATATATTATTTTCCGTCCATTTTTGATTATGAAGAACGTAATCATATAAATATAAAAGTGTAACCATCTTGTTTCTAAAAGTAAATAAAATAACAAGACTTTTTAATGCAAAAAATTGTATTGTAAATACATATAAATTTGTATTTGATTGTAAATAAATATAAATTTGATTTAGATGCATTTAAATACAAGGTGGTATCACTTGAATGTAATTGTATAATAAATATTATAATATATATAAGCCTTTTGTATATCGTTTACACTAATTTTTATATTTGATACTGTTTGAAGCTACGTTTTATTTCATGTAATATAAAAATGTAAAAATGCAATTTTAACTTAAAAAAAAAAAAAAAAAAAAAAAAAAAAAAGAAAAAAAAATAAGGTTGAAATAACATTGACCATATTTCCCAGTCTCACTATATAAAATTAAGTTCTCTTTTAAGTTAAAATGTAGCGATAAGTTAAAAAATGGTGTACAAAATCGTTTTCATCAATTGATGAATAGACTAGAGTATCAAATGTTATGCACTCTGTGCTAAAATTATCAAATTGTAAGTATACAATATTGGTACTACATACATTTTGTTAAATATTGAATAAATATTAAAGTAATATTATACTTTTTCTGCTAATAAAGTATCTGTCAAATATGTAACTTTAAGCAGCCTAGAAAAGTGTAATTTCTCTGATGGCAAATTGACGGTCCATGCTATCACACGAATTCCACGATTATGCCATTGTTCAATAACACGCCTAAAATATAACCGATTTTTAGTTTCTTATATTTAATTAATTTACAACTATACCAGTATTATCAAAATTTTTATATATAATTTCAATGTTTAATATCAACAATAAATACTATAGATAAAATAACTTACAGGTTTATTATATCCTTATGTAAAAGAATAGTAGATATCCCTACAATGTAATAAATAAAACTTGGTAATGCCCATTCATATAAAATTTCCATTATGCAAGCTGCCAAATGTTTAAATGGATTAACAAAGCGTGATGGTCCTGGTCCATTTATTCCTAAATAAGATTCCCTTGAGAAGTAATACGGTCTCCAAGCTAAACTAGATACAATGCGTGGTTCTTTCCTTCTAATCTAAATTTGTTATTTGTTATAATTAAATATACTTTTTTTATGACATAAAAGTTTTATATAATACTTTTTATGAAATATATAAACATTAACATACCAAATATACAATCACAGGATTAAAACTTGAGACAATTGCTTTCTTAAATAAATTTGGATTTTCTTTGTAAGCATCCAATACCACTTGTATTATATCTAATCTTGTTTCTTTGATATCAATAATTATACGTTGATCATTGTTTAAACATATTTGTAAAGCATCTTTGAACAATGCAATTTTTTCACCCTCAAGAAATTTATTCCTTTGATACAGAAAAATAAATTCCATGAGTCAAGGAAAAGAAATATATATAATCATAAAATAATTACATTAGTAAATACCTAAGTGGATGATTAAATGTGATATCTAATTCCTTCAATTGATCCCAGGTCATTTCACTAACTACACCCTTTTGACCTGTAAGTCTTTCAATAGTAATATCATGAAATAGTACTGGAATGTTGTCTTTTGTAAGAATTAAATCAAATTCAATTGCAGTACATCCTTTGTCTTTACTCTGTGAAATAAACAAATAATTAAGAATCTAGATTAGACAACATAAATATAAAATATATATAAAACTTCTGTAATTATAATGAAAAATCTTTTTATGTTAGCCATATCAAGTAATTTGAATATTTTATTCTCTTTTTTTTTTATATAAATATGGTTAATAGTTATAGTATTCATAAAAAAACTTTAGTTACTAAAATATTTTAAACATTACAGCTATTCGATTAGTATATGTTTTGAAGCCACACCAGAGCAAGCAATTGTTCATTTTGACAAACAATATAAAAAGGATTACAAAACACAATGTTATAAATGCTTTGAAAATTCATATTAAGAAAAAAATAAAAGCCATCAATATATTAATATATTGGATATAAATTAATAGCATATAATAATATTAGAATACTAGTGTTTTAAATATTCAGAGCTATTATCTATGTGTCATGTCTATGACTATAAAAAATTTAATTAAGAAAAAGTCATTAAATATAATTTTACATTTTGAAAAGCCGACAAGCTGTTCTCAGGGTAATCATATCCTCCACCACGATGAGCTATAACAGACATGCAATATCGTTCTCCATCACCCTGGTTCTCAGTCGTATGTACTTCCTTTCCTATGAAAAAGGGATTCACACCAAGTACTTCATTCACAATACTTGCATGTGGAGGTGGAACTCGAACTAGTTTCAATCCAATCAATATGATCAAAGAACCCCAAAAAATCCAAGGTATGCGGAAACTGTATAAAATGCTCACTAACACAGTCCATGTCGCTTCAAGAAATATCCACAATAAAGCACTATTTAAAATTAGTTCGACAATCCCATGCATCTTTGTCAATAATATCTATGTTTAATTTATGTTACGTTATTTTTGCAAGAGAATTGAGTTCTACTAGAAATGTTTATTCAATTTTAGTCTTATGCCATTTAATAATGTTTCACTGCATAATTACGCAAAATCGATGATTCATACACTTCATAGTATATTATTGTATAAACGATATTTGTCGTAGTAGGCCGACCTTTACATTTATTTTACTACATAAACGTGATAAAAATATGTCATCTTCTGTAAATCTGTAATCATAAAAATTATTTCTTGTTGAGAACACTAAGATTACATTTCTGTGAATATAATTAAAATATAACGCGCGCATATATATTAATCATCATATCATTTGAAATTTTTTAAACAATCAAAAATGAAGATTAAAGACACGGCATATAACTAATCGAATAAATTATTGATTAAATACATTTACATAATTAACTAGCAATAAAAGATTGATTTTATCAATGATCACGATTACATTCATGTATTTGAGATAAATTAATAATCTTAAATTCGGAATTAAATTTTCTGAATACAGTACTATGTACTTACTCTATAATCAAATTTTTCCTTTACTATAATCAATTCTTTCCTTGTTATCAATAGATCTGTAACTTCACATCGAATGGACATAAACTTGCTTTCAGAGAATCACATGACACAACGAGAACAAATCGTAAGTTGGTAGGAACATTAGCATCTATCCAACCATATATGTTCATGTTTATTGGTTTTCTAATTTTATCAAATTTTAGAAGTATCATATACACAATAAAAAATTATATGTAATAAAAAAAATGATAATTCGAAAAAATAATACAAATAAAAATCGATAATTATGTTTTTACGTTACCATTGATGTGATAACACCTTAATGTTGTGTTGTAAAAAGGCATTAAGAAATATATTCTATGATAAATCAATTAGCTATGTCGAATGTAAAATATTTTAAATAAGAATTTAATATCTCGTGACATATATGTGAAGCACAGAAAAAATTATAGTACATACAAATATTTACAAAAAAGAAATTCATTGGTATGACTGGTATTTATAATATGACAGATCAATATTTATTTAACTAAAATGTCTCAAATCAATCAAGGACAAAAGTGCGGAGAAACGACAGATATTTTAACAAGATATCAAATTATATCTAACAAACTTAAAAAGTAAGAAAATTTTTTAAATAAGAAAATATAATTTATTTATAGAAATTATTAAAATTTTTGTTTAATCAATAACTTTTAGACGTTTTCTGAGAAAACCTAACGTCACAGAAGCCAGTGATCAGTTTTGTAAGTATTATTATATTGTTGTATCCTGTATGTAAAGATCAAAATGTTCTTATATTATTACATATAAATTTGCAATAACACTTTATGTAGGTGCCTTGGCTGTTGAATCCGAACAGAAGGAATTATGGCAATATGCGGGTTTATGTTACTTAGCAGCAGCTAGATGTCATGGAACATTAAAAAATACTTCTTCTGAAATCAATCTCCTGATAAAAGCTGGCAGACAGTTTCTAACTGCTGAGAAAAAAAATAATGATATTGGGTGTCCTTCTTTAGGGCAAGAAAACATGCTGGTTAATGATCAGTATATTAATGTTTTTATAGTTGTTGATATTTTAAGTTATACGCATAACAAAATATATTTTAGGCTGCTGTCAGCTGTTTTAGTCATTCTTCATTGCGTTGCAGTAATCAAATGGGATTTAATACATTATCGGCAGGACTAGCAATAGAATTAGCATTATCATTGGGTGCTAATTCAGCTGGAATTCAACAATTACGGAAATCGATTGATACTTTCCCAACTCCAAAAGCTATTAATACTTTAATATCTTTTTATATTGAACAAGGTGAATAATTTTTTATATTGTATAAAAATGTTTAATTTATGACAATAAATTATACGTGATTGTCTCCATATAATAATTCCAGGCGATTATGTCACTGCTTTAAATGTTCTCAATGAATTCGTGGAATTTGTAAAAGCTTATATCAATATTGGTATAAGAGGCAATTACAATGTTATTTTACGTCGGTAAGTTATTTATACAATACTTTTTTGTAACATATGAAGTTTCATCTACAACTTCAATTATAATATTTTTTAGATGTGAAATAACTAGAGTTCTTTTACTTTTGATTCTTCAACCATCACCTAAAAGGCTAGCACCATCGTTGGTGCAAGTTTTAGAGAAGTATGCATGGATTGAGGAAGGTACAAATAATGGTTTGTATGTTTGTTTCTCATTAAAAAAATTATTGCATAAATTAAAAATACAACAACTTTTATATATGTTGAAAATATTTTATATATTATAGGTCTTGATATGAACGAGGATGAACTTTTATTACTGCAATCATTGGTACTTGCATGTCAATCGAGAGACTTTCAAATATTATTTGAATTAGAAGGTGAATTATGGCCATATTTAAATGCAGAACAAAAGGAATTATTGTACAAGTTAATTAAAGTATTGACATTACAGTGAATGTGTTATAATTATCTATAAATATGTATATAATTAATATTTAATAAAATCCCAATTTTTTAATTGTTTGTTCACTTTTCATGATGAATATTGCAAACTATGTTTCATAAAAATTATATATTTCATAAGCGATAAATAAATAACGATAAATAATAATAGTAATTTTTTTTTTGTTTCGTGTTTGAAGCATCTTTCGTAAGAATGGCATTAGGAAGGTTGTGAAAGGAAGAACCTGTTATAACACATTGTATGGATGGAAGAGTGAGAGTGTATGAAGATAGGTATAGTATGCGATTTCTTGTGATCGCGGAGGAGAGACGGTTCTTAGTTTCAGACTATACTAAATTCTGCGTTCTTGAAGAACGTAGACGTAACTGGAAATATATTCAGTCATTACACAAACGCGAGTGCATCCTTCGATTCTTCGGCCTCTTTTAATCAATTAAAATATCAAATTTAGTGAACAAATAACAAATTATTCCTAAAGGTAAAACCATTAAATCTTGTTAAAAACATTTTTAATAAGAACAAAATTGTATTAAAGTATTTATGTAAATTTTATAAATCATCAATTATTCCATAAATATTTAAGAATTATATTTTAATCGATAAAAAATCAAAATGTAATCTAGATCAATTCGTAAAGACTATTAAATAAATGTTCTAAACAATATTATATTTATACTAATTAAAATAAATTTAATATGTGAATTGATTGAAATTATATTAACATAGTCGTTTATTTCTTATTATTTTAACAGAGAATGTCAAAGTTATTGTAGTAAGATCTAAATAAAGATTTAATTCTGCTATAATGTTACATAATATCACATAATAATTAATTATAATAGTAAAAAAGTGAAATATAATATTTCAAGGAATACCGTTATATTTAAAGATACGAATGCACAGAAGATCATTGAAAGATCAGAAACGATTAAAAAATTTTTTTAACTTTCATAGATGTTCTTTTATTATTATTATAATAATTTTATTAAAAATAACTTCTAATTGTTGTTAATTAAATTGATAAAAACATCTAACAATCTAATTTATTTTTATAAATGTTAAGAAAAAAACTATGTTATACTCATTCTATTAAAATTTAAATTTATTAGGTGTCTACCTATTTGATCATTCTTAGAATGATCTATTACGCGTTTCGATAACCTTGAACTTTCAATATGCTCGTTTCCGAAGGTGATTGCCCGCGTAGATTTGCGTAGATTACGTGTAGATTTGCATGATTGACCTTGAAGTATTCACATATCGTTAAAACATTTATTTTTTGATTAAATATGATCATTTAATTATAAATTGTTATAAATTAATTTTTTTTTCTATATTATTACAGCTATGACTGAAAATTGGAGAACAATTTTTGTAACTGGAGGTGCTGGTTATATTGGTAGTCATTGTATTGTAGAACTTTTAGAATGTGGATATGATGTAGTAGCTATAGACAATTTTGCAAATAGCGTTGTAGAAGGTAAAGGGGAATCTGCAGCTCTTAAAAGAGTTGAAAAAATAACTGGAAAGAAAGTTATATTTTATAATTGTGACCTAATTAATAAAAACAATCTTGAAGAAGTATTTAATAAGGTAAGTGTTATCAATGTAAAGTTCTATTTATTAATATAGTATTTTTATTAATTTTTGTAATATTTTTTAGCACAAAATAGATTGTGTCATTCATTTTGCGGCTATAAAAGCAGTGGGAGAATCTATGCAAGTTCCACTTCATTATTATAAGAATAATATTATTGGTGCCATTAATTTACTAGAAGTAAGAATATTTCATTATTATATAGGATAACTACGAGATTTAGTTTATTATAAAATTATTTAATACTTTTAGGTAATGAAAGCTGCTGGTTGTTTTCAATTAGTTTTTAGTAGTTCTTGTACAGTATATGGAGAACCAAATGAATTACCAATAACTGAAGAACATCCTACAGGAAATATAACTAATGTATATGGTCGTACTAAGTATTTTATCGAAGAGATGCTCAAAGATATATCAAGAGCTGAAAAGGTATGATTATAATATGTATCTATCATCAGAAGAAAAACTATTTACAATCTTATAAATTTTTTAGAATAAAATATTACTTTCATTTGACAGAGTTGGAATATAATCTCTTTAAGATACTTCAACCCAGTAGGTGCTCATCCTAGTGGATTAATAGGAGAAGATCCAACAAAACCATTTACAAATTTAATGCCATATATCGCACAAGTTGCATTAAGTCATAAACCTGAACTCATTATCTTTGGTGGTGATTATCCTACAAAGGATGGAACAGGTACAATATAAGCTAATTATTTTTAATATTGATTGAAAAAATTTAATTATTTCTTGATTATTTGTCTTCAGGAATTCGAGATTATATTCATGTCATGGATTTGGCATCTGGTCATGTAGCTGCTTTAAATGCTTTACATAAACAGCATGTCAAACTAAAAATTTACAATTTAGGTACTGGACAAGGAGTATCTGTTCTTGAATTAATAAAAACATTTGAAAAAGTGACAGGTGCAACTGTTCCATATGTTATAAAAGATAGGAGAGAAGGCGATATCGTCTCGATGTTTGCTAATACAGATTTAGCAGAAAAGGAACTTGGATGGAAAACTAAATATAATGTTGAACGAATGTGTAAGTTTTATATATATATATATATGTGTGTGTATATCAATTACATTGTGTATAATGAAAAACATATATTTAATAATATATTTTAATAAAGGTGAAGATTTTTGGAGGTGGCAAACAATGAATCCGTATGGATATCGTGCGCCAATAAAAAATGGCATTCATAATCATGTAAATAATACTACATAAACATATGACTTATATGCGGCTGTTCTTCACCTTACGCCGTAGGATATGTGACTTCAATGACAGGTATAGATAAGAAATTAATTAAAAGGGCAATAGGGAAATACTGTCCTCCACTATTTCACTATTGTATTGTGTATAAGCTTGTTAGGTTATACCTCTCTTATGAGTAACCTAACAATCGAATTAATGTATAATAAAAATATGTATTAAAAATAGTAATACATCTGACAAAAGCAAGAAAAACCATATGCCATTTTATACTTCTCTGAAGATAAAATAATTGAAAAATGTTAATTGTACAAACTTTATATTGTTTGTTTATAATTAAACTTATATAAATAATTAATAACTTATATAAGTAGTCATTAGTTCTATATAAGTATCATTATCTTCGTAGAAATATATAACAAATAAAAGATAACATATGTATAAAAGATAATAGCGACGATAGTAGAAAGAGAATTACTCATGTATATTTGGAATTCTAAAATGTGTGAACATAATGACAGATATAACTAAGAATAGAAAATATGATATTTAATCTAAAAGACGTAAATAAAAATAAATAAGAATAAATGAAAATCAATAAGAATAAGTAAAAATAAATGACAATAAATAAGAACAAATAAGAATAATAAAAAAAATTATGATTTTTTAATGCATTTCTCTAAAAAATTATTTTAAAATATTACTTAATCTACAATAAGCATCTACTGAAGTATGATTAGCAATACAAAATATAAATACTTTTATGTTTAGTTAGAATTAGAGAGATAAGATTTTTGAAACTTATTGAAATATGCAGCCATTTGTTCGATAGTACTTGCGTTGTATAATCTATATTTAAGTCTCGATATATCGCAAGTAGTATCGATCCAGATCTCACCACGAGGAGGTTACTGCATGTGAAGATCCATGGGCTTTAACGGTGACTACTCTTTTATACTATTATTACTATTGCTATTATATAAATAGCAAAGTAAAGCAACGTGATGAATGTTGCTACACGAGAATTCAGATTTCAAACGCTAAAATTGTAGACCTGAGCGTTACCATATATTCGGGAACCAATTTGCGCATAGCTCGACTGTTACAACATTGCAAGTTTCAATCATCATTATTGAGCATGACCAGTCGTTTATGACAAGTTACAAGTCCAATTTTATCTAAAATTAGACTGTGTAGTATTATTTAAATATTAGTTTATTTAATTCTGCGTACTTTCATATTGTTTAAATAAGTATAAAATTAGCGAAAACATTAAGTTTTAAGTTTTCACGTTTAGAAAGAGAGAGCTTCGATGTTTACTCGTCGGAATGCAAAAGATTCCGAATGCAAAATTTAACTGTATTGAAATATGAAATTACAATTATTTTACATTTAAAGCGTTTTTCGAGCTATGTAATGTTTAAGTGAACGTACTATAATATTATAAAGCTTTTTCATAAATTTGAAAAAGCCATGTTTAGCCATCTTTAAAATGAGATCTTATTCATCAAAATCGGCTTAGAAAGACGTCTAAATCGTTGGCGAAAACCGTTATAAAATCAAGGATGATGAATAGCCATAATTCAGAAATAAATAATTTATATATAATAAAAGTTTATATCACATTTGTTTAATTGCATAAATAGCTAGTAGTTACAATAATAATTACAGTTAATACATTTTGTTATAAGTGTCAACTACTTCAGTCCACACTTTCTGTGGCATCTTTATTATTTTTAACATGTTCTAAAATTGTATATAGAGACAGATCTTGAAATTTTAACACTTCTAATCCCCAACTTGTCCATCCAGGCAATAAATATCTAGCAAACATTTCTAAACACTTTGGTTCGCTAGGCAAATATTCTTTTATAACTTCTAAAATATTAGCATAATATAAATTATTTTATAAAACATTTATATTTTAAATGTATCATAGTACTCACCTATAAGAGGTGGTTTATGTGAATGTACAGCACTTGGTACACTGATAATTAATTTACTATCAGGAATATTAACATTAACATCAGATGCACATCCTAATATTATTAACTCATAAGGCTGCTTTCCAGGTGTAGAAGTAAAATTACAAATTGTATTACCCATTTGAGTTACCTGGAATTTTTTGAAGTTCTAATATTTTCTTACTTATTGAAATATTAAATATGTTTAGTTTCATATTGTGAAACTAGCATTAAACTTACTTTGACCCAATACCATTTTGCTTTGTATGTAACTCCCCATGAAGGAAATATTTCATTAAAAATACTATGTAAATGACTTGGTGCATTAGTACACCAAATTGCTACAATACCGCTTGAACATAATAATTTCCCAACTGGTATCTTGACTAATTCTTCATTGTACATCATTTGGTAGCTGTTATAAAGACGTTAAATAAAATTTTGGCAAGTTATAAGATATTATAAAGGATGTTAAATTATTGCTATAATAAAAAAACATTTATACAATATACGAATAGTACACGATCAATGCTCAACAGTGATTTTTACGATGAATAGTTGCATCTAAAATCTTATTTACCGATCTGTTCATAAAACTGAGAACAGGATAAATATATATACTAGTATATAAATTGCTTGTTCTCATTAAAAGTGCTGAGATATTTCTTTTTTTTACTGGTTTATACTGAACCATACAAGATCACCTAGCTTCTACAGATTTGCTCTTTTTTCTTCTTATGGACTTGTTCCACCATGGAGGATCCAATAGTACAAAATCATACTGATTGTTCAGCTCCATCTTCTGCATCATGTTTCTTACATCATAACAATAAAAGCTACACTTTTTTGGAAATACATATTTCTTATACTGTGCCTCCCATATAATGGCTACATCAGAATTATTATAACCGTGTAAGTTTTCTAATCTTTGATGAAAAGTGTCAGAGTAAACTTTCTCTGATGTCGAACGTGCGGCTTCATTATTATCAATTAGAATATTATCACAGAATAATCCATTTAATTTGGCAGAGGATATCAATTTGTTGAATGCTTGCTGGATAAAACTTATCTATAAAAAAACATATCTCCTTTAATTAAAAGATAATAAATAGCAATCATCTCTTACAAATAATGTTTTTTCTTATATTAAAATAATTTTAGTCTACTTCGTCTAAATGGTCCTGCGGAAGAAGTTTATTTCGTTTTCGTTTCCTAGTTTTATTTGGCAAAGGATTTGTTTCATCTTGCATAGAACGAGCTATCTGATTTTGTCTCAAATATTGCGAATTAATTTCAAACAACATATTATTAAATGTCAGAGAATGCAATCCAGTTTTTGTGGTAACACTTTTATAAACATTATTAAGATATTCTAAATGGGAAATAATCCAACCATCCGTACTAGAAAAAACTATGCTCATAATTAATTCTTCAGTGAACACAAATATATCTTTTACAACTTAATTGTACACATTTTTATAACTCTTAATATATTAAAACTGTTTTTATAAAATTGTAACTAATAATACAATTTTACGAATAAGAGAGAGCAACCACAATCGTGGTACTAATTCGTACAAACTCGTACTAATTCGTACAAACAGAAATTTTAGTCTATTTTAGTTACGCCCCACCCTTTTACTAGTAGCGTTGTAAACCTATAATTTTTGTTATATTTTAAGTATGTACATTTTACATCTATCAGATGTCGCCACATTTGTAAACCGTGCTGCCATCTGAAACTTCGATCTGAAATCTTTGATCTTACGGTCAAAAGAATGGAGTAGAATGTAAAACCGGTTGGAGCCCATCTGGGGCCAGCTCAAGTATCGAGATGTCGAAGTTTCAAAATAAATTTATTTGAAGTCATAATGTGGATAATAAGTGATATTTTGACGCTTCCCAAGGTGCGTCATTTTTATTAAACGATGTCAAGAAGATAAATTATGCCTCGAAAAGAAAACACGTAAGTTTCTGTCAAGTTTCGATCTAACCATTCTATATATCAAAAAAAAGTTTCTTGTCCCGCAGGAAATTATATGGAAAAATTGACGACGTTATAAATTAGTAATGAACATTGAAATTATGTGTTAATGATTTACAAGAATTTAAAAATTAATTTTTATTGATAGTCATAACAAAGTTGTTCTTCAGATTAATAATTGTTTTAGCAAAGCTAAAACATGGGAGCGAGACAGACGAAAACGAATGAATACATATTTCAAGACCTTAGCAGATCTCTTACCTCCACATCAAGAAGGTCGCAAGCGCAACAAAGTTGATATATTGATACATGCATCAAAATATATCAAAGATCTTCATGTTCGTACAGAAGAATTATTCTTTGCTCATGCATCAGAAGCTCACAGTATGTATAAATATAATTGTAATACTATCGTATAAAAATGTTGTCAAGTTAAAAATAAATATTATCTTTTATTTTTTCTATAGAAGAAGAACTAGCACGTTTGAAAAAACTTGTAACGCTACTATTTTCACGAACACAATTACTTTCAACTTTGCTTCAAGAAGCTGGAATATCTGTACCTGCAGAACCAGCTTTAGAAAGGATATCTCCATTAAAATGGTCGAACAAGATTAATGTAGAAGATGTAGAAAAATATTTTACAAAAGGTACGTAACGTATGAATTATTATTATTTTTTTTTTATTATATTTTATCTAGAATCTTAGAAAATCTCTATTTCTTAGAAAAAACTTCTGAGAAAAAGAAAGAAAAATCTGCAGACAGTAAAGTGCCTTTAAATAAGAAATCTCCATCCCAAACATCTTCGAAAAAAGTTTTGGATGAATCCAATATTTCTAAAAATTCCTCTATTGAAAATCAGGAAAATCGTTTGAATTGTGTGAATAATAAAGATAATGATTCAAATAATTTAGGCAATGATTCACAAATTGAATGCAGAGAGAATAATGTTCAAATTGAAAAAGGTAATTTTTTATAATATTAAATAAATTAATTTCGATATAAAGACATTTTTATAAGTAATTTTTATAATCTAGGTGAAATTTCCAAAAGTTTTGGAAACAACAGACAGACTATAAAAAATGGTAATGATATTTGTGTGTATATA